GGCTGGCACCCCTGGGCGGTACTGCAGGACTGGCTAAGCAAACAGCAGCTATTGGTGGTAACAAATGGAAACTCCCTGACTCTCATGCAGTCCCTCCAGATCTGCTAGAAGAGCAGCCTCCCCCCACCCCTTGCCCCTGCCCCCGAGCTTGAAATAAATCTTGGTCTCCTTTCATCCCTGCGGGGCAGCTGACCACTCCCATTGCTTTAAAAAAGTGCAGTACAGAGGGTTCAGGGCTCCAGCTTAGTCACAAGTCATCCTGCAGGTTGTAAATAGTCTCGGATGGTAGCATCTAGCTGTTTATAACATTTTGCTCAGAGCACACTAGACAGCCCCATATTTCCCTTTTTCTTCCGATGTTATACTCAAGCTCAAGACTTTATTGTCGTTTTGGACCCTAATTTTTTCTTGCAAGTCCACATTCAACAAGTCGGATTCATTTCATTTGTAAAAATATACACAGAATCCCACCACTTTTCACCATTTCCATTCCCTGACCTAAGACACCAGCACTCCTTTTCTGGATTTAGGGGCAATTAACTTCCTAACTGGTCTCTCCCTCGTCACCACTTGCACTCTCAGTACTGAAGTCAAAGAAATATTTTTGAAACGTATTTCCCGTTAGTTTGTCCCCTGCCTCTAAACCTCTTCCTCATTTTACTCAGGTTAGATGGCAAAATCCTGACAAGGTCCTTGAAGCCGCTCTGCAGCCCTTGGACGTCTTCTCCCATTTCTGTACCTGGCTCTAGCCTATGGCGCTTAGCTGCTCCTTTCTGCTCTCATGTATTTACACTGGCCATTCCCTCTCCCTCTAGCTGTGCCCTTACCTCCTTCAACTTCTTTACAAAAAGCTTTTTTTTTTTTTTAATTGAAGTCTACCTTGTCCACTCTACTTAGACTTATAGTATTTCCTTAGACTTTTCATTCATTGTTTTTATACTGCATTTTTCTCCCTAACATTACTACCTTTTAACATGGTATATGACTTACTTGTTTACTATTATTTTTTTGTCTCTCAAATAAAATGTACCTTTCACAAGAGCATGAATTTTGTCAGTTTTGTTCATTGTGATTCTGAATAAACAGAATTATGTCTACCTTTTAGGTGCTCAATAGACATTTGT